ATTTTAGCCACTGAAGTTTAGGCCTCTGGGGGCCCCTTCCGTACATGGGTTCCATCCCACAGATGAATGCTTTTGTAACATGTTCAAAAGTAAGATATTTAAGCATGGTTGTTTTAGACCGTTTCTACTCTATTGTCCTATTTTCCCTGACGTCAGGTGTTGATGGAATGGCCACAGGCTCACTGGAGATTGAGTTGGGGATACGTGTAGTTTGGGTAGACGCATATGGTGGCAATTACTTGCGTGTGGGGTTGAGTTACTGCTAACCACCCAGTGTAGCAACGGGTCCAAGGAATGCCCCACTCTGCTGCTCGTCCACCACCGTTGCAGGGGCCCAGCGCAGGCTAAAGGAGGGGAATGAGTTTTGAAATGTGTGGAGCCAAGAACCTAGACTGTGGAAAATTCTTCCAAATATGAAGTCTTATACGAAAGAATCTTAGTAGAGGTTTTCTTATGTTTGACAACAATCCTCAGTTGGATGTGAAGATGCAAATGTTCCCATTATCGTAATAAAAAGCAAATTTTGGTCAATGATACTAGAGGAAAAACTTTATTATCTTCTGATTCTTTATATAAAAAATGACATTACAAGATCATTGTTATATGAGGGGAATAATTTGTTTTCTATTGCTGCTGCAATATTACCACAAACTTGGTGGCTTAATACAAAATTTATTATCTTATAGTTCTAGATGTCAGAGGTCCAAAGTCAGTATCACTGGGGTGAAACCAAGACGTTGTCAGGCTGGTGCCTTCTGGAAGGTCTAGGGGAGAATCTGTTTCCTGCCTTTTCCAGCTTCTAGAGACTGCCTGGAATCCTAGGTTCATGGCCCCTTCCTCCATCTTCAAAGCCAGCAGTGTAGCATCTGACCAATTTTCCATTATCACATCTCTTTCTCTGACCAGACCCAGGGAAGTTTCTCTGATTTTCAAGGTCTGTTTCCTCAATCACATCTGTAAAGACACTTTTGCCTTATAAGGAAACGCATTTACATGTTCTAGGGATTAGGATGTGTTGGGGGCCATTATTCTGTCTCCCACAAAGGACAATATTAACAGTGTAATTTATTGTGATTTCTTTTCTCAATCTTTCTCACAAATACATCTTCTCTTTAGTACCTAATTCTGTATTTGCCATGTGCATTCTTTTTCTTGAAGAAGACCCCCCCCAGTGGTATAAGCTTCAGACCTCACATGAGCTGACTCATGGCACCTCTACTTGCCCATTGACCAAGTCGAGAACTTCAAATTTCCCCCACACTAGCTGGGCAGAGTCTGCCGCGGTGGTTCTGCTCACTGGGCGGCAAGGGAGCCGGGGAAGAGCTGAAGAGGAGAGTGCCTGTGTCTCACGCGGTGGCTCCAGAGAATCACCGAGCAAAGTGCAGCATGCCCACGTGCTGTAAGGGATGCTCTGATGAACGCCAAGCTCTGTGGGTGGACGCTAGGGGGGGAAGGTAGAAGAGCCCATGAACCAGTGCACTGGGAGCTCAGTAAATGTCCTGCTTTGGCAACTGCCACGATGCTTTTTGGTTCAGCCAGTCTGCTCTTTCTGCCTTGTGACTCCAGGACGAGCATGTCCAGTTTCTCTCTGGGATTCTTTTCTGGCCCCAGGATTAACTGAAGTCTCTCTTCTCTCCTGCTGCCTTATGAAAAACATCCATGATCAGAGTCTCCCTTTGGTCATTTACTCTGCCCTCTTCGTGTCTTCCTGCTGCCCCCCACCTCGCCACCTGTGCCACTGGTCACTTGGGTCCCTGAACTTCCTTCCCTCTGCTCTTGACTCTTCCTCAACGACAACCCCCACTCTCACTTCCTTAGTGTGTCTCTTTCCCAAATCTACCTCAGCACCCAGGAGAGGGTTTCTTTCCTGCTCATCTTTCCCATTCTAGCATGTTCCTCTTCCTGCTCTGGTGAGAATTTTCTCCTCCACCTCCAGACATCTCTGCTAAACTTGGCAACCCAACAGGCAACATCATGGGCCTTCTACTGGGCATCTCCTTCTTCCCTGCATGCAAAGACAGCCGCTCTCCATGTCTATACCCGGTGTCTAGCCTGGATGTACCCATAGCATGGCTCACCGTGTTCTCGCACACAGTCTCTCAATAGCTGGCTCCAAGGGTCCCTAGTGGATGGCTTCCCACCCCTCCTTCTGCCCCACAGTAGACTCTCTCCCCAGCACCTCCCTTTCACACATTCCTTCTACAGGGGAGGAGTGTGAATATTCACACACTTCTCTGATTTTCTTGGTCTTTTGTCATGATCAGCCATCTACCCCATACCGTCCGGGTTGTGTAAACTCATGCCTAGTGCGCTGCCTCTCACAGCTCAGTCCCCCTTGATCAGCAGATGCCAGGTCTATGGACAGGGTCTCATTTGGCCTCATTTTGGAGTCTGAAGCTGCTCAACCAGGACCGTGCAGGGTGAGCCTCCTGTAACCACTGTCCTCCAAGGTCAAAGCCCACTCAGGGACCATGCAGTTCTCATCCTCCAATGCTACCTCTGCAGTCCTCCTCTGGCCCCACTTGGGGATCCTTTCCTTCCATAGGAGAAACTGAACCCCACGTTTCTTCTAGAATTTCCCTCCATTATCACCCTGGGATGCACCACTCTCCTTCCTTTCTTTCTCCCCAAGTTCAGACCTGTCCTTCCTGTAGGGCACGTTCTCCAGCATGCTCAGATTACCAAGCCCGGTGAGGAATAGGTGCAACCCTCAGAGCAAGCCCAGCTGGAGTCAGTTGAAACTGCGTGTATAATTAGTCTTACTAAATTCACATGAACAAGAGATGTGGCTGGCACATAACGGTCACCCAGGCACTGTCATTTTCCTATCCACAGGGCACCATGCTGGAAGGACTGATGCAAGGGGGAAGTAGGGTCAGAATTGCAGGCATCAGCTGATACCCCCATCCACCCCAGGTCAGATCTATTTCTAACAGAACTCTAGGGGTTCTGTTTCCATTATCTCTTGCCATGTAACAAACCTTACCGGATTAAACAAAATTTACCGGATTAAACCAGCCACCATTTTATTTTCTGCCATGATTCTGTGTTGACAGAGCTCAGCTAGGAGTCCTGCTCCACGGCATCAGCTGGATGCTTAGCTGGGCTGGGACGTCCACGAGAGCTTGCTCACTTGTCTGGAGCTTGGTGGGGAGGGCTGGAAGGCCAGGGCAAATGGGCCTCTCTCATCTTGTCATGTCAGGGCTTTCCCTCTTCACATGGCCTCTCTGCATGGTCCCTTTGGGTGGTAACCCTAGCACATAGCTAAACTTTCTCACGTGGTGGGTTAGGGCTCCCCCAAAGGGCAGAAGCAGAAGCTACCAGGCCTTCTTGTGGCTTCGCCCACAACTGGCACAGTGTCGTTTCCCCACAATTCTATTGGTTAAAGCAAGTCACAGGCCACCCCAGATTCTTCGTGCAAGAGGACTGCACTAGGGTGCTGACCCCAGGAGGTGTGGTTTGTTGGGAGCCAACTTCGGAGCAAAGCCATCATGGGTTCTCTTAACTGGGGCTTCATAAAGATGGAAGAGAATGAACTACAGAATGTACCAGATCTGTTTATTTAACAGTAAATTCAGGCAAAACAAAGTAAAAGTTACACAAATGCTATGAAGCGAGACTCTGGCATTAATCCTAATACCTCCTCATTACAGAGTTGGAGAATGTTATCAGTCAGACACAGTGTAAGTAAATGTTTCCTCCCCTTTGTCCCTTAGCAGACAATTCTTTGCATGTCTTAATTTTGCTGTAAGTTGTTTTTGCTGGCTCTTGCTCATGGTGCCATGTTAGTGTTTGATTCCTGATTTGGGAGGTTTTGCTCATATTTCTTGAAAATTATTTGTGTGATTCTTTGTGCCTCAGTGGAAAGTGGTCCCCTAGAGAGGAGGAGTGTGTCTGCTTCTGTGGGTGTCCAGGAACACTGCCCACCCAAGATTTCTTTAAATCAAACCCTTAGCTTCAGGTTTTTGGGAGCACTCTAAGTATACATTTTGTCTGCAAGCCCATATGAGGTCAGGATCATGATTTGAAAAACCAGGGGGGATTCCCCCTACACCTGTTCAGTTCAAGTTTCCCATCAGCCTATTTTATATGCAGTTTTCTGGAAGCAGGGTTGCAGGACAGATTAATTTTTACAGGCGGACTGTTTGCTTTCATCTATCATGCTGCTGGAAATAGAAACCTTTGTGTTGAAATTTTACTAAAAGTTTTATTTGGGGTTAAGAAAAGGCAACATCATCTGTAGTGTGGTGGCCCTGGACAATCAGTGCCCAGAGAGGCTTTTGGGGGGCGTCATGAACAGGACAGCTCCCCATTTCTGCTCACCCTCCTCTGTGCTCATTCCAAGTATAGAATTCAAGGCACACTCTCAAGGTGAACATTCCCTGGGGTGAGCATCTCAACCACAAGTCTACTAATGGGTACAAGTTCTTTGAGTACTCACTTATGCCCCAGCTTGACTGGGATGTGGGCCACTGTCTTCCTGCATTCTGGGAGCCTGGTTCCTCTCTGTCTTGCTCCCCATTTGCTTGGTTACTCAGTTGAAAACCACCTTTCTGCCCCGCCTTTTCAGCTTTCTCTGGGAACTCGGGCCACCACATGCCTGAGAGGCTGTCTCCCCTGGGTCTCCTCAGTCCCAGAACCATATCCAACAAGTGGCCTGTCCCCTGGGCCTCTGACCAGGTCATGGGTTCCTAATCTCAGTCCATTCAAGAATTGCTTCTGTGACCCCACCCAGGCAGCCTTTTCTTTTTCCTTCTCATTTCTTTCTCGGAATCTTCTCTTGCCGTGTTCTTGTTCACATGCTTTCCTGCAGGGCCCTATTATTGCGTGCGCACCTCCACCGTGACATCTCTCCTGATAACGAGTACTAACCCCACCCCCAGTTCTCCCATGGTTCAGCTCTTGGGTCCGCAGAATCAGATGTGAGCGGCACACAGGGAGGACTGTCTCAGCACATCTCTGTCTGGCCCCTTCATTCCCTGTGGTTTTTTCACTTCTAGCCCAAGAGGCCTGGAAGCCAACCTGGAGGCGAGACCTGGAGAAAGCTGGAACCATGCTGACCTTGTGTCCTACGAAGCAAATGCAGCTCCTGGGAAGCCTGACGTTAGTGCAGATGAGGGAGATGGGGGTCCCCAAATCTGCCGTGTATGCGGGGATAAGGCGACTGGTTACCACTTCAATGTCATGACATGTGAAGGATGCAAGGGCTTTTTCAGGTAGGGTTACCAGCCAGCCATCACCCACCTGTCACCCTGACACACTGGGTCACTTCTAAGTGGGGTTCTGCCACTAGCTCACTGGGCACTGCTTTAGGGCCTCAGCTTGACCTATCCCGGGTTCAGAGTATGGGGCAGTGGCCGATTCAAAAGCCTCCTACTGTTTCAGGAGAGTCATGAATATCTCAGAGGATTTCTTCATCTTCCATCTTCCTATCTTACCTGGGAAAGGGCCCCTTCCATTAAGATATCCCTTTTGTTTCTCCATGTGTTCTTGAATAAAATGGAAAAGCACTTCATAAAAGAAGAAAGAATCTGAAAAGCCAAAACAGTGCTCAAATCAGCTGTAGGGAGCGGTAAGCAAAGAATGTCATAAAATAAAAGAAGAATAGGACAAAACAGTCTCATCTAGAAACAGGCAAACGGGGAGGTTAGAAACTTAAGGACTGCAAAGTACCAACTCACAGCAAGACAGGCCTGCACAGAAGGGTTCACACTGTCCCAATGAAGAAAGAGTAAAGCCCAAAGCCCAAAGCGGGGCTCAGATCAAGAGGAAGAGAAGCCGGCCAGGAAAGGCGGGAAGCAGAGAAAGAACGTGTGAGGAGTTGGCAGTCTGCCCTCAGGGAGGGCCGGGTAGGCGGAGAGCAGCTCCCACCTAGGGGCCCACTTGGGACCCTCACGAGCTCCCAGGACAGCCAACCTGACGTGGCCGTCTGCAGAGTTCTTCTTGGTGGCCGGACATGGGACTGGACATGGCTCCTAGAGCCAGGACCCACCCTACAATCCCTAAGATGGGCTGCCAGTCAGCATGCTGTGGTTGGGGGGGGGGACCCCCAGGGAGGCGCTGCGGTAGCTGCGCGTCGCCCAAGTGAAGAGGCCCCGGCTTTGGGAGCTGCTCTCAGGTCCCACGGGGTTTGGTGGGCCTGGTGCAGGCCCAGAAGCAACCACATCGGCAGCCACGTTCCAGCAAGAGATGAACATGTGTGTCGTGCGGAGTACAACAGGGTCCAGACGGAAGTGTAGCTTGGCGCCCCCCGGCCTACGAAGCCCGGGTGTTCCCCGAACCTGCCTTTCGCTCTTTGTTCTCTCACAGGAGAGCCATGAAACGCAACACCCGGCTGAGGTGCCCCTTCCGGAAGGGCACCTGCGAAATCACCCGCAAGACCCGGCGCCAATGCCAGGCCTGCCGCCTCCGCAAGTGCCTGGAGAGTGGCATGAAGAAGGAGAGTGAGCAGCGGGAAGTGCCCTGGGTGGGCGCGGGCGCAGGCGCGGGCGCGGACTGGGGCGCATGCGCTCCGTGAGCCTGGGACAGGTGTGCGGGGGGAGGGGGGCAAGTGGGAAGGAAGCGTGGGGATGTGTATGCGCACGTGTGCAGACACGCACCATGGGTGTGCACATGCGTGTGGCCTGTGTGCAACAGGCAGACTCAGGGCGGAGAGCTTGTGGGCCACCTGCCCGCACCACCACCACGGGGCGATCCTGGAGGGACTTGACAGATGCACTCACTGCATCTTTGTTCTCTGTCCTGGGAGGTGTGGTGGGCATCTCATGCTCCTTTTTCCTCTCAGGTGCCCCTGCGTGATTCTTTTTGTTGCCTTCATAATTGTCTTCATGGTGGTCTAGCCAAATTGGGCGAGGTGAATTGGGGAGAAGGAAGCCAGAGACATCTTACAGCAGCTAGTGCCCATCAGCCACCCAAACCTGGTGTCCTACAGAGGAACCGTTTGCAGACAGGTGACATAGGGTGATCTCATTCTACCCGTGAAGCTTTGGTGTACAAATGTGCTCCCAGGTCACTCTGAGATTAAAGCTGATGGGGAAAATGCAGGAAGCTTCCAGTGCATATTTGTCTCCACTGATCACAGAGTGGGCAGCCTCTTTCAGGGGACCAGTTCCCTGGGCATGTGGACAGGCCCTCACCTGGCTGTCCCTGCTGTTTCTCGCACCAACCCCCACCTCTTCGCTCTGCCATGTGAGCGGGCTCCAGAAATCCATGGAAGGCCCTAAGGCTCCAGGCTAGACAGGAAGTGGCTGGAGTTGATATTTCTTGCTAAGCAGTAGCCCCAGCTCTCTAGGGTCTTGGAGACCCAGATGCCTCGGGGGGGACTCTGAGGAGTCTGCCTGGTATCTAATCCACCAAAGAAGACTACTGTCAGGTGCCACTGACGGCCCGCTTACCATGTGCCAGGAGCTCTGCTAGGCACTTTGCACGCCATGCCTAATTGTGGCAGCAGCGTGAAGGGGGCACTGTCGCTCCCAATTATGAAGAAGGAAACTGAAGCCCGGAGAGGTTAAGGAACTTGCTCAAGGTCACCGCTAGTGAGTGGCAAAGCTGTCACTCAAACCCAGCACCTTTTGATTCTGCAGCTCGAGCTCTTCCCACAGTTCCACAAAGTTGTCACAAACCCACTGCCTCAGGCAGCACACCAGCTGCATCTCGTTCTCTGTGCTTAACCCAGGGTTTCTCCAGGGGAGCCCACGGTCTAGGACAGGGTGGGTTTTTTGTCACCAGCACTTCCCCTGCCTGCTGCCTGGGGAGGGTCACCAAGGGCAGCCAAGCTCCTGCAGGTGCCTGAGCCTGTTCCTGGTTATCCCCGCAGTGATCATGTCGGACGCGGCTGTGGAGCAGAGGCGGGCTTTGATCAGGACGAAGAAGAGAGAACGGATGGGCACTCAGCCCCTGGGAACCAAGGGGCTGACTGAGGAGCAGCAGACGATGATCAGAGAGCTGATGGATGCTCAGATGAAAACCTTCGACACCACCTTCTCCAATTTCAAGAATTTCCGGGTATGAGGCTTTCTCAAGTTGGCTCAGCCATTATGCTAGCTCCTCAAAACCCCAGTCCCATTCCCAGGGGTTCTCAAAGAACCCCTAGGTGATTCTGACACATGCTCAGGTTTGAGAATCTCTGTTCTCTCCTTCCACGGCAGGTAGCAAGTGGGGCTGAGCCAGAAACAGAGTTTTGGAAGCTGAGTTGCTCCAGGGTGGTTGGCCTTTGGGGCTTTATGAGGACAGGGTCAGGACCTGTTGGGGGTCTGGCGTTTGTGAACGGGTTTTACAGATCTAAGACACATTTGTGATCTCAGCAACGTGAGCCGTGTTTGATCCTGGTGCTCCCTTCCTGCTCTGTGCTCACAGGCATCTCAGGTGGCCGGCTCCACTCAGAGAGCTGGCAGCCAGTGACCCCAGGAGTCTGTTCTTTCCATCTGTGCCTCCCACAAACTCCTTTTTAAGTCAGGGATGCTTGGGACGCACCCATTGGTGGAGACCCCTTACATTCCACTGGGCAGAGAGCAAGCCCATTCCTGACCAGGCAGGGATGTGAGGGAACATTGATAGACAGATCCAGAAAGCACACCACCTGATGTGTGTGTGCACGCGCATGCATGTGCATGTGCGTGCATTTGTGTGTGTGTGCATGCCTGCATTTGCGCATCCTCTCAGGCTGCAGCCATGGCCGCGAGCCCTCCTGGGCCTGTGTAGGAACCTGTTTGGGAGAATACATGCCGTCTGTCCTGTCCTCTCTCCGCCTCCCAGCTGCCAGAAGTGCCCAGCAGTGGTCGCGAGGTTCCGGAATCTCTGCAGACTCCAGTGGGGCAAGAAGCTGCCAAGTGGAGCCAGATCAGGGCAGACCTGTGCTCGCTGAAGGTCTCTCTGCGGCTGTGCCGGGAGGACGGCAGCGTCTGGAACTACAGACCCCACGCTGACAGCAGCGGGAGAGAGATCTTTTCCCTGCTGCCCCACATGGCCGACATGTCAACCTACATGTTCAAAGGCATCATCAACTTTGCCAAAGTCATCTCCCACTTCAGGTAGGACCCAGCGGCGGGCTGGGTGGGTGTGGAGAGGAGAATGCAGTGGCCAGCAGGTTCAAAGGGTCTAGGGTGGATTCCTCTGAATTTGGGCGATACTGGTGTCGAAAGACCCTCCTTAATCTCCACCTACCCTACCCATCAGTAGGCAGAGGGCAGGTTAGATTCCAGGAGCCCCTGTGGGCCTTATTTATTGGAGGGAGGGTGGCCACGGGTCAGAAGGTAGCCAGTTAGGTCAAGGGAGTAAGAGAAAGGCCTGCTTGCATGTGTGGATCTTGGCAGATTCCCACTGACATCCGATGACCCGCAATGTAACATCAAGGTGTGAGGTTACTTGCCATTTCAGTCCCCCCTGGAGGTATGCATTACTACCGCCTTCATTCTGCAAATAGAAAACAGGTTCACTGAGGTCCAGGAACTTGCACAGGGTCGCAGTTAATCAGAGGGGCCAGATTTGGAAGCAGATTGCACAGAGTTCAAAGCCAGCTACCCGCCAGGTCCTGAGCCAGGCGCTGGGAAACCTGAGAGAATAAGCTCAACTTGCTGAGATTATGGATCTAAAAGAAGGGGGTGGTGCAGAAAACAAGGCCGCGAATTTCCGAGGAAACCGACGACAGGCAGGGGGCCCCTCAAGAGCCAGCCTAAATGTCCTCCCTTCTGGGCTCCTGCTGGAAATGCCTGTCAGCGGGGAGTCGGGGCCTCTCAGCTTGGGAGGGGGGTCAGCCTAACCCTGAGTGGCAGAGGAGGCCGCTGGTCTGTAGCACCCCGTGTGGAAGCTAGCACCCCCCCCATCCTTGCCGCCAGGGACTTGCCGATCGAGGACCAGATCTCCTTGCTAAAGGGGGCCACCTTTGAGCTGTGCCAGCTGAGATTCAACACGGTGTTCAATGCCGAGACGGGAACCTGGGAGTGTGGCCGGCTGTCCTACTGCTTGGAAGACCCTGCAGGTGCCCGCAAGCCGCCCGCGAGCCGCCCGCCCGCCCCGGCGGAGGGGGGCAAACACACGCGTGGAGGGAGGTGAAGAGCTGCGCCAGGATGTGCGGGTCCTGGGGTTGCAGGGCAGAGACCCGGCGATGGGAAAAAAGAGCCCGGTGAGGGAAGGCTGAGAAGCTGGCCTGTCCACCCTCCACCCACCTACAGGTGGCTTCCAGCAGCTTCTCCTGGAGCCCGTGCTGAAATTCCACCACAGGCTGAAGAAGCTGCAGCTGCATAAGGAGGAGTATGTGCTGATGCAGGCCATCTCTCTTTTCTCCCCAGGTGATGACCCCACCTGTCCTGCCTGGCCACTCCTCCCCCCCGCCCCGCTTGCTGGCACCCCCCTCAGCTATAGCTGGAGGAGGCGGCAGGCCCACCCCTGCCCTCCCCAGATGGCCTTGCCCCCGTTCACTGCGCGGCCAGGAGGGGGCCCCTGACTGGCTTCTCCTTGGGTCGGTGGGGTGAGGCACCCTCCGAGTGCTACCCTCCCTTCCCTGCCTGGGTGCTTCTGGCTCCGGAAGGCGGTTGGCTGGCCCCTTGCCCTCTCTGGGCCGGACTGATCTTGTCTTTGCCCCCACGGCCTTGCTGCCACCACACTGTCTTCCCCTCCCCACCAGACCGCCCGGGTGTGGTGCAGCGCAGCGTGGTGGACCAGCTGCAGGAGAGATTTGCCATCGCCCTGAAGGCCTACATCGAGTGCAGTCGGCCCCAGCCTGCCCATCGGTGAGCAGCAAGCAGGGAGGGTGTGAGGGGGTCCCTCCAGAAGCCCCGTCCTCTAGCCCCCCCGCCTGTTCTGGGCCTCTCGGAGAGGGCAGACTGGAGCCGCTCCTGGGGCAGCCTCTGGCCCAGTCAGCCTGAGCTCCAGCCCAACAACGGAGAAACCTGAGGGGGGCCAGAGGCCATGCCCAGCCATGGACATTGCTCCCTGAGGCACAGCTCCTGTCTGCCCTTTTCCACTCCTGTCAGCAGGGACGGGAACAGCCAGGTATTCCCCCGAGGCTCCTACAGGCTCTTCTAGCAATAGCCAGCAGTAACTGGCATGGTAGTGAAGATAACCATGACAACAACAATGATGGTAATAATAAATTTGCATTGCGGAGTGCCGGCCCTGGTACCAAGCAGTTTACATGTAATGTCCCCTTTAATCTTGAACACAGCCCCCACGAAGTGGGTGCCACGATACCCTGCGAGGGGCTGGCGGCTCAGGGCGACTGCCTCAGGGTCCCCAGCCAGATAGGCGGGATCTGGAGGCGGCCGCGGGCGGACACGTCGGTAGCCCACCCTTTTGAGCGCTGCCTGATCACCTCCAGGAACGAGCACAAGCAGACAGGGTAGGAAACTCCTTAGTTTGTTCTGGCCACAACCAAAGGAGGAAGGCTGCTCAGGGGTTTCCATACCTTCACTGCCTCTCAGCAGCCCCACGGGCCCGGGCCGTGACGGGTGAAGGCCTGCACAGGGTGCGCTGGCTGCCCTTCAAGCCTCAAGTCCTTACTTGGCCCCCTTCAACTTTATTTTGAGCTCAGCCTCTGGGCCATGTCTTGATTTGCTTGGTCCTCCCCTGTGTGGAGCCAGGAGGCATTGTGCAGAAACTAAGGCGCGAGGTTTGTCTCAGATGCTAGATCCCAAGCTAGATCCAGAAAGGATCTGCAGGGCAGCCCGTAGTCCCTGCCTCCACAGCTGCTCCGCTCAGCCCTGACCCGCAGCCATTCGCCAAGGCAGTGAATCCCCTCCACCCCCGAGACTGCCCTCTGTGCCCGGCCCCCACAATGCCTGGACTTTCCCATGGAGGTGTCTGTGTCCGAGGACTCCAGCCCAGGGCGTGAGGGGCCAGCGAGGAGTGCGAGTCTACGCCCCAGTCCCCCCAAGCCTGCTCTGCCCTTCTCATCCGCAGACTAAGAGAAGCTTAAGGAATGCGACTGAGCCTTGTCTCTTGGCTTGCCTGAGATGTTCTAAGAGTAATACCCCCAAACTTGTGCAACTTCAAAGCAGTCCCAGGGTTGGTGGATGGGGCCAAGGGTGGGCAGCACCCCCAACTTTTCCTCTGGCTGGCCTGCAGGTTCCTGTTCCTGAAGATCATGGCCATGCTCACCGAGCTCCGCGGCATCAATGCCCGGCACACCCAGAGGCTGCTGCGCATCCAGGACATACACCCCTTCGCTAGCCCCCTCATGCGGGAGTTGTTCGGCATCACAGATGGCTGAGCGGCTGCCTCCCTGGTAGAGCCTCCGAGGGGCAGCCTGAGCCAGAGCCCTGCCCTCGGAGCTGCCATTCCTGGGACTAGATGGATGGCTACTGCTGAGAGCTGGCAATGCCCTACAGGTCCTCCCTCCCCGGGAACTCACAACCATTCCTCAGGAAAGGGACGAGGGTCTCCCCAGGCGCCAGCCCAGTCTGTGGAGAGTGAAGCCATAGACACTTTGATGGAGAGTGCACTGGCCTGTAGACCAGGCCCATTCAGAGGCAAGACCACCCTCCCCTTGGAAATGGCCCTGTGGTCTGAGCATCTAGTGTCATGGTGGGAGAGGGGAAGTGTCTGTGAGAGAAGCCAGAAGGCCTACAGCAAACGTCAGAGTCTTGTCATGACCTGTCTATTCTTTCTTCCTTCTGCGTCCTTCATTCTGTGTCTCTGCATCCATGCAAACACATTAGTAAGCACCAACAATATGCAGTTTGCTGTGGGGTATGCGCCGACTCAGACATAGTTCTGGACCTCCAAGACTTTAAAAGTTCAACTTAAGAAAACAAAGCAGAAACACAGAGAGCTTTGAGCCAAAGAAGTGGTAAGGGCCATAAGAAGCACAAGGAATTTCTTCCTGTGAACGCTGAGCTGTGTGGGCTTCCTGAAGGACCAAGTGAGGGATCTGTGGAACATGTGTTCGTGGGAGGAAGGGCACTAACTGGCTGTGTGCACATGTGTGTGACTTAGTGTAGGTCTGCTCCACGTCTGACCTGGGGCTTGGGTTTGCCCCCGAGGCTGGAACACTGGGGTGCTCTCTGCGACGAGGTTGTGTTGAGAGGCAGTTAATAAACATGCTAGCTATGCATGCACTCTATCTTCCTGTTTACACATCTATTTTGAAAGCTAAAGAAAATGACAATGGTTGCTTTGTTTATAGCCATTTTGAGTAAAAATGTTTTTGCCTTTGGTGCAAATTAAATTTTGACTAATATTACATAAGGCATTCTACACCTAAGGACAAGACTTAGCAAATATGTTCATGAGTTTCGTGTCAAATCAAGGCAAGAGGATTTAAATAATTAATTTTTGGCTAGAAATTTAAACCTTTTTTTGCCTTCTTTTCTAGGGAAAAAAGAAATGTGGGGGTGGGAAAATAGAAATATTATTATATAATATACATATCTATTTCTTCACTACTTGTTTTACTATTGCCCTTTACACATCTGACGGCTGTTGGTGTAAAAACAAAAATTTTAACTTGGTTTGCTCATAAAATTATCCCATATAAAAATCCATATAAAAATGATACACCCCACAATATGGTATATGTGTTGGTGTATATATATACCAAAATTAAAAATGTGGTTAGTAATTGAATTAATTTTAAATGTCTAATGTTTTGAGGCAAATGAAGCTGCAAGTTAACCGCATTTTAAGGAACAGACACTTGTTTAGCTTTTACCATTTTACAAAAAGCAGGCCAAACTTTGAGAACATAAGAAATTGTTGACATTATAAATCAAAGCAAGCAAACATATTCCTTGGCATCTCCCCAGATTTACCAGCCTCTTCTGCATTAAGGATATAGAACACACTCATTTTTAGAAAAGAAACTGAGGAGAAAAAAGAGCTCCTCTCTCCAAATACAGTGAATACAAATTTTGTTCCCAGGAATTTTGTCTCATTACATTCATTGGGAAATAGGAATTTTATTCAACTGTATTCATAAATCATATGCATCTCCTCTTCCCCATTGAAACAATTTTGAATGTGCTATTCATTCAAGAGCCCAAAATTGTTAAATATAGGCTACAGTAAGCCAAAATTAAGATGGGATGTAAACTCCCATGTCCTGGTATTGATTTTAAAAATACCTGCGTAGCTGAATTGGTATGTACAGAGGATTTCTGTATCATACAAAAATTATTGTAGTCCAAGTGTAGTTAAGATTCAAGGTGAGGGGCGCCTGGGTGGCTCAGTTGGTTAAGCGACTGCCTTCGGCTCAGGTCATGATCCTGGAGTCCCGGGATCGAGTCCCGCATCGGGCTCCCTGCTCGGCAGGGAGTCTGCTTCTCCCTCTGACCCTCCTCCCTCTCATGCTCTCTGTATCTCATTCTCTCTGTCTCAAATAAATAAATAAAATCTTTAAAAAAAAAAAAAAGATTCAAGGTGAGATACACCAAATTGCTCACACACGATACTTCAATAGCTTTGTGGATCTTGACTTTATAGGGCTAGGAGCCAGATTACACTTTGCTCCTCTCAAACGTTTGGATTGCTCCATTACTCCCTTTTCTGAGCCTTTGAACATACAGAACTGTCAGTTTCTAGGCATCTCTGTGGCTGCTGTGCATTTTCTAGGTCTTGTCTCAGGTGAGGATGGAGTCCGTCTGCAGAGCTCAGGAGAAAAGTCCTTCCAAGTAAGTACTGCTTGCCTTCTGGCCCCCTCATTAGCCAGAGACACTCAACAGCCAATCTCTATCTGGCCCAGACATTAAGGATCCAATGAAAGCACTGACATCAACAAGTTTTCTTGTGGGAAGGCTGGGGTGGCCTCTCCTTTCTAGAGAAGAGGATGTAAAGAGAAACAGACATTGGATTGGCTATCCCTTCCCAGCTTCTGACAACTCGTGGGCCTCATCATGCCATGTTACACAGCAGCTTCGGTTTCCTCCGGACACGTTCCCTTAACATGCCCACAGTGCTCCTAAGTCTGAAGGTGCTGGTGAGCAGATGAGTATTTACACCTGAGAAATGGGTGGCTGTATCATCACTCTGGGTCACTTCCTTTCACAAACTTCTCCATGAAGAGCTCTGCAATCTGACCCCTCCCTTTCCTATTTCTAGAACACCTATGAAATGGCCTCCACTACCACTGTTCTCCTGAAATGTGATCCAAAGGACAGGTTGGTCGGTACTTTTTGGAAGACCTTCAAAACTAAAAATGCAGTCTTTCAGGCTTTAAGTTAAAAGGGTATCTTGCTCAACTGCAACTCAAATAGGGCAGGAAATATAATAGTAGTGAATCCCAAACAAATGCACTTCAGTGCCATCAGGAGGCCCATCCCACAAGCGCTATCTTTATGTTTGCATTGTTCTCTCCTTCCCCCCAACCCCCTGCAACTGGTAAACATGTTTAACTATTTTTCAAATATTAGCCAACCCCACCGCCACAATAAATAAAATGAGCAAATAAACAGAGGAGCAGACTTTATCCAATATAAATTTGTTTTTATTGAAGCAGCAGTCACATGACTTTATATCTAGCCTTTAGATTAGGCCTGACAGAGTGAGCCAGCCCTAAAAAAATGATGTTTCTTTTTGCACTAAGAGACATAACATGTTTACATACATCATCCAGTATTGGAAATGAGCAGATTCAAACACAACATGTGTTGGTTACCTGGGAGGTACAACCCCACGGTTTGTGGTGTTCATATATTTTACAGATACTCCCAAAGACCATTACTAATGGGATGAAAGTTAAAAGAAAATACAGCTACACCAAACCATGAACACAGTAATCAAAGACAGCAGCTTATACACGTTTTAAAAAATTTGTCCCTTTCAAGGACATTTTCTTTCTTTTCAAAGCAGTGTCTGCAAAGCTTCCTCTACATCAAATCCAAAGGTTTCCAAGATGGAAGCTGCACCTCTTGGGGCTATACAATGGAGTAAGATCATTTAAAGAACGAGAACTGGTGTTCATATCTTGATTTCATAATAAAGATCCATGTTTCTCTAATTGGAGGAACGGAGATGGTGACGTGACTATATATTGCAGTAGCAAAATAGGGTAAAGAAAAGAGGGTTGGGTACTGAAATAAAGACCACACACTTGTGAATTTTAATTTCATTTCCAGGCTAACCTACTTTTTATTTAATGCAAATTACAGTACCAGTTAACTATTTCCAAACCAAGTCACATAGAACGAAATGTATTTACAAGGGAATGGGGGAAGGGAAAAAAAACATTGAGCATACTTTTCACAAAAAAGTTTATATTTAAAATGAAAAAAAAAATCAGTCACAGAGGCATTCAAGTAGTAATAATGTTATACAGATTTTGCTTTTCCTTTATATCAAGACAGATTTGCACAAGTGTTTGCAATAGTTTGTATACAACCCACAGTCCTTTATATATATATATATATAATAAATTTTGTTTAGATTTGTTTTTAAGATGGAAGTGGTCACGCTAATTGGTATGTGTACAGGCCCAAGTGATCCATCGGCAACACATTTATAAATGCAAGTTTTACAGGCAAGCACATTTTCATACATTTATCTGTATCTGCCTGTAGACAGATACAGTAAGAAAAAAAAAACTTAAAAATGAACACAAGGAAGTCTACTTTGTCAAGCTAACCCCTTATGTACTGGTTGTCATTTTGCTTTTATTGCAGAGGTGCAAAACGGAGCAACAAACTTGGAATAAAACGTCGTAACCCTTGTGAAAATAATCCAAACCCCAGGGATTACTTTCAAAGCCTCTCAATCATAGACCTTAGTCTGGGACTCTACTCTGCTTCTAGTTGTCGTATTTTCAGTGGCTCAGGTTTCTACCAGAATATTGTAAAGCATGCTTAGTTTATTTTTCTATGTAGGGGAGAAAGTGTTCAGCTCTGTGATTAGATGATCACTAACATGAACAATAGAAATCAGATACAATTTTGGTTTAAGACAAAGGAAAAAACCCCCAAACTCCTGGGGATCTGGCATTGGCCAAGCTTCCTTTGGAAGACTCCAAAGTTAAATCCCTTAAAAAGGAAAGGGAAAAAGAAATGATATGCCAGTGTCTTTATATCCACAGGGATAGAGAATACAATAGTCCTCTCAGAAACCTTTGTATTGGTGCAGACAATATGACTGGTTAGGCAGGCTTTGTTAAAACACAAACCAAAAATATGTGTCTAAAAATTAAGAGGACTTAAAAAACGGACACAACATGTCACTGGAAAGAAGGTGCAGTCTTCTGCCTTGCTGGAATGAACACACGATGTTTCAAAAATAGCAACCTTTGGTTTGGTAAAGTTTGTTTTTTTCTTCTACTCAAGACATCTTATATGGAGTACTTGGAGGCAAAACAAATGGTTTTGATTTTTTTCTTTCAAAAAAGGCCTTCATGATGGGCACACAGTAAGAATTAAACTTATTTTTAAAGAAGGAAATGAAAAGGACATTTCACTGAACAGGGGTCGAGGGGGCAGGAGGGAGGGGATGGGCTGAGTTCCCTTGTTAACAGGACAGTCCTCTTGGCTCGGCGCAGTAACCGCTAGTAACTGCACTGGAGCACTGTAGACCACTGATGGAGCAGAACCTGATACTATTAAGAAACTTGGATTTATAAAAACCAACTGTCTCTCTGTCTTTCATTTGGGAAGGAAGTGGATAAGGGGGAGAGAGCATGGAAGGCTCCTGGAATCTGCTGTTTGTAAGGCCGATGGTTGGGACTTGGGGAAGAGATGAGCAAACTCAAATCTATTCGGTCTCTTCCAGCTCTAGGGCTCCCTGGCACGACACAAAGTCCCTGGATGGACTAAGTATGAAATGAAGCCGGTCACTGCTACTGACTGAGGAGGAAACAGCTGCTCAGAACCAAAACAAAGGCAGGGCTTAAATGAAGTGAGGTCATGAACACAGTTTCCTCTTTCCACTCCTGAGCATGGTATCACTGAAATTAACTGTGGAAGGGGCAAAGACACTGTTAGGCGTGAGTTATTATTTCAAAGGGAAAGGGGTAGGACAGGGAGACACGGATAGAAAAACCAATTAAAATTTGAAAAATGAAAAACAAAACCAAAAAACAAACACATGGAAGCGAAGGCACTCCAAACTATATAGATACACTATACATTGCTAGAGTTATTGTTACAATAATACAGGCCGGTACCTACTGTACAGAGTTAAAACTATATGGCTTTAAAAAGCTCGTCTACATTTTGTCTGATTATTAAACAGAATCACTGCCCTGAACAGTAACTTTTTGCTCATTAATTAACAGTTCCTGGGTCCACATATTTACATACAAAACAATAAAACTTAAATTTAAAAACATTGAAAGAAAATATAATGTACAAGCTTGAATTTGGTGAGGAGCTTTTTATTATTATTATTATTATTATTATTTACAAAAAGATATTCAGAGACCTGGATCTCACTTGTATAAAAGAGTTCTGTGATACCGCCATGATCCTTGAGAAAGAAAAATCATACACCTCAGCCCTCATACACATACACACAGGAATGAGAGAAACGCATCTGACTTTTCTCTCTTCTTCTCTTACCCCATTTATGGGGGCAAAGGAGGGGAGAGTGTTTCCTAAAACAAGCACAGATTTTTATGGACTCTAGCAAATATACCAAGTCCAGAGTAGTGTCTGTGTCCAAATGTTTGGCTGGGCAGTTTGGTGTGAGAGCAGGTCCATTTCTCTGTCATAGACCTGCTGTTCAGCTTTTTTATAAATCCTTTCTGAAAATGGTCTACCAAAGCCATTCCCTTTAGGAATTACCTGGCCAAATACTCTGATTCAGACTTCTTTCAAAGCTTAATTAGCTCTCAGAAGCGCATTATGAAATGTAAAGGTCAATTTGTTCGATTTGGTTTGACTGAGTGTGTTTCCTTTCTCACGAACTCGGATATAACCAGAGGTTTGAGAAACCCCTTTTGTGGCCTAAGAGCTTAGCTAAACAGTGAGTGAAAACGAAGATGGCTCACAGTTGCCCTTCTGGGTATTGGTTCACTTCAGCAGGCAGTAGGACTCTCTTGGAGAGTCGCACACACTTGGTAAAGAAGCAGGACAGGGTACCGGGACCTGCGTTGAGGGCTGCCAAGAGACTCCACTTCCAAATCACCGGGAGGGCAAGACCCCTAACACGACCTAAGGTGGCAATGAGGAAGGGGAAGGGAGGTTACACATGATCGAGGGCTCAGCTCTACAGCCCTACAGTTATCAACTAACCTTGGAAAGTGTGGAGGGAAGAGTGGGTAGAAGGGAGAGGCGGCCATCACTCAAGTGATCTTTAAATGTAAAGTACAACTGATTGTGCCTTAAAGATTCATAGGTCAAGTAATGGCCCATAAGCACCAAGGTGACTAAGGTTCATTTTAGAGTATATAAGGCCCACAAAGATGTCAACCTTAAAAGTATAAAACAAACTAGTTGTGAAAATCTATTTCCTCACTGCAAACATAATCCTTCAATCCTCTTTGCTTTCCAAGGAATATTGCTTTTTCTTCAAAAACAGAAACTGAGTCTTACACCATTCACTGATACACAAAGAAAACAGAAACAAAAACTCTTAACTGGGTGTGGGGGGAAACATTCTTCTCATGCTTCAACCAGTTGATTTTGATACTGTGGACAAAAACAAAAATAAAAGGCAGTATTGAATCTATGTATATATAACATATATACATACACACATTTATATAATCCGCTTTCCTATAAAGTCAGCAGGTACACGTGACTGTTTATACCATTTTGATGTGTAGTTCTTAATATTCCTACCATCTAAAATCACAATGGTCTGATATACATCAATAAATAAAGTTTTAAAAGCATGAGGTTAAAAAAAAGCTGAAATTAAATACAGATTCTAGATTTGGATTTAAAATCAGAACTATGTGCAGAATGTGGCAATTTCTGCAAGCTCAATTTGTAATTAAAAATATGAAAAATAAACCAGTAGACTGTTACAGTTCACATTATTTAACTACAATGTCCTCTCAAGTGTATCTTTCCAAGGGAAGCAACTTTAGAAACAAATGTGGACAAATTCATTCACAGTGGTGAGATCTGCTCTTGGCCTGTCCCCTTCCTCCAGGTTCATCAGCTTTTGACCTCTGCAGCCAGAATGACTGGCTCAAATCCTTTTCAGTCTTCTGGTCACCAGTTTAAAACTGTACTAAGATTTGCAGAGAACCTTTGGTCAGGCAAACAAAGATCCACCCTCAGAGCACGCATGCTCCTCCTTTGATAGCCTCCAATTTAAGTTTCTTCACCACTAGCACTGATTAAGAGCAAAACAAAACCTTATCAAAGCCAATTAAGAATCTTCAAACTTTATTGACCTCCCTGGGTTACATACAAATGATACACATTTCCTTGTTTGTCTACCACACCTGCCCCCAACATACCAAAGGCAAGTCTTCAAATACCCGAGGATATGGATGAATTTGACAAGTGACACTGAAGTCCCCATTGAGTTACACCTGCTAAGCTCCCAACCAATTTCAAGCTGTGCACTATACCAAAGTCTTACACTTGACTTTAAAAGAAAACAAAGTTCAAAAAAAACTTCAGCACAGAACAAAGTCTTCTTCTTTTGTGGAAGGGGCACGAGGCAGGAGTCCTGTTTTTAAAGTATACAACAGCAGACTTTTGATAAAAAAAGATTGTCGTGGGAGAGAGATTGTGTGTTCTAGTGCTCCGCTTTCCCCTCCCCACAACCCCTCCCACCCCCTGGATCTCCCTCAAAGTGAGAATACAATGAAATTGGTTTGTATTTATAGATATTTTACAAGGTTAAATAAGAACAACAATAATAATAAAAAAATTTGAACACTAAAATGAGCAGGTTTTTTTCTCTTTTTAATTTTCTTTCCAAACGTGACCAGTGTTGCTGAGTGACACTCAAGTAACTGGCGGTTTTTCCTGTGCAACTGGCTGCTCGGGACTATTCAGGTGGAGTTGGAAGCTGATGCAGAAGCAGCGTTGTTGGTCTGTCCACGGTCTCCGGCATTAGCATCTGCAAATCAGAAGTCCCGAGAGAGAGCATGAGCAATGCTTTAATACCCCAACGAGATAAGTATACTGCCTCAACTGCAGACTGTGAGCTGTGTGGTCTTCCAAGCTGTATCTGAAAAGTTCTTTTAAATATGGCCAATACTATGAAATCTGAATTTCTTTCTGCTTAGAGCCGAGTCCATGTCTTGGCCTGGTCCTCGTGCAGGGAAGATAAGCGTCTTTGAATAAGTTGGGGCCAGAGACCACTCTGTCAAAACTCCTGCTACTGCTGGGATTAGCAGTACGTGCATGAATACTCAGTTGGGAGTCTGGCTCACTTGAAAATAAGTGAACAGTGCACAGCTGGGAAAACTTGCTGAACACTCTGAACCAGGGTATGCCATCTGCTTAAGTGGGTGAAATGGGTGGAGGCACTGAACGTAACATGGGTCAGCACTGAGAGGCAGAAGCACTATGCATAAATCAGCCTCACTGCTTACTCTCTAAGTTCAGTCCTGCTTCATTATTTGTAGAAGTGGAAGACAATGAGCAAAAAAGAAACAGCCACTGCAGGACTGATTCACTTACTCAATTCAATAAAGCATCTTGTAGTCAAATATCTTGGCACTGAGCTTACTTCGCCTAATCTTTTGGAAATATGTGTAACTTTAACTCCCCCCCCCCCGCTTTGAAGGTCCATTATTATTTCACAGCATCTATTAACATTTAAGTGGGCATTTAGTTGCATCTGGATCAACACTGCATCTCAGGTAGGCAACATACCGCTGTTTCAGTCGGCTAGTCCAGCCGTGCTCCTGTGTCATCATGCATGTGGACTGCTAATACGCACTGCTGGGCCTATTTTCTCCCCAACGCTTCACACTGAGCCCTGAACAAGAAGAGAAGGGGCTCGACTGGGATGGGTAACTTCTAAGAGCCACCTTCCTGGAAGTCATACTGTCCTTGACCATCAAAGTTGGTGACACCCAAAATACAAGTTCAAAACCAGGTTCTGAAGTTCAGAAGTTTTGTCTCCCTAGAGACTGAAGTTCTCCTATATCCTCTAATGAGTAAACAACTGTCATGGCTGAATGCAACATTTGTCTTTGGATCTTTTTTGTTTGAATTTTTTAATTAGAGCAAGAACAAAAGACCCCAAGGACACAGAAGAACTCTTTACTTAAGGATTAGCTGTTCAGTTTATCATTCCAATGGCCACTCTATAAAAACCACACTTCTTTTCTAAATTCCTGATTTTCCTGCCCTCAAAATAATCTGCCCTTATATACATTTAACTCAGCCTTTGGGGAAGAAATGTTTATATCTCTCACTTTGACTGGTTATGTTTAATTCATTTAATTTCCTTCAAAACACTTATAGCTGCTTCTAATCCTGTTTTCATGAAGGTAAGTGTGAACATTACAGTATCAGGGTCAGGGTCAGACACATGGGACAGGTGGCAAGGTATATGACACAGCACTTTTCTCCAAAGGCAGATACATGCCTTTTCCAATAATCACTACATAACTATGTCTAACACTTCATTCACGACTCCTGGTCTTTCTTAAATATGCCCTTTGTAGCGGGAATTTTACTCTTCAATGATCACCCAAATTCTGTCAACGATACCATCAATTTCTGTCCAGGTCACATGTTCCTGTAAGCCTTTCTCAAGAAAAACAATCATTTTCATAATTCAAGCACAGGCTGACTTAAAAACAAGTCTAGAAAAAGCCTGCAAGGCCGCAGAGCTATTTCAGAATGATAATGATCCTCACAAATCCAAACTTATTGTAGCATTTCCCATGCGCTGGACGACACTCTGAACCTATGCATGATCATCATCAAATAGCACTTCTCTCTCACTTTTCGTATGTGAAGAGGACAGGTACAGCTTTCATGTTCTGGTCTTCCAATCATGAGGAATTTACCTGCTTGACCATGACAGGCATGGCAGGCGGCAGCTACACTGGAGGACACCCACTAAGGTTCGTTTACATAGCCGTCCAGTTCATTATGTTAATTTACTCTTTAGCAAAATCCTATTGTGTGCATGAATTTGAAGAAACAAATTCAACTTCTGAGTAATAAAATTTGAAGACACTTAGGCTCCTCAGGTTTGTAATTTAATGATTTCATATTTTTTTTCTCTGAATTATCTCCATATCCCCTGTTAAGTAAAATTTTAACAGCTAAATATTTTGATTACAAATATCCTTGAAAGCTAAAGTCACAGCACTGTATTCATTCATCAAACAGAAACAGAAACAAAAAACCTCTGCCTACTGCAACAAATTACATTTAAAACCAAATTATATATGTCCTTTGTAAGAAAAAGAACAGAGATCTGTTTTTCAGAGGCAGACAAAGTACAGGGAGGAGAAACCCACAACAAAGGAAACGTAAAGCTCTACAAACTCAAGAGTAGCTCCCACAGAACACCTGGCTTACTGACCGAATAAAACTACATTTCGTAAGCTCTTCTTGGTACATACTTACTTTACTCCTACCACCAATTCTGTAAACTTATTTTACATAGTTGAATTAATATGGGCTTTTTATAATAAAAATGTTACATTAATTAAAAACTGTCACTGGATTTGGATGTTTACTGTAATTTCTATAATATTTCTTCTCAAATATTTAAACAGTAACTCCTTAAAAGCAGCACAATTCATTTTGTTCCTATCTCCTGCATTCCCTTCCCTTTACATTCATACTGGTAAAAGTGATGCTACTGGGGAGGGGGGTGGGGGGATGGGTTAGCCCGGTGATGGGTATTAAAGAGGGCACATATTGAATAGAGCACTGGGTGTTATATGCAAACAATGAATCATGGAACACTACATCAAAAACTAATGATGTAATGTATGGTGATTAACAATAAAATTTAAAAAATGCAAAAAAAAAAAGATGAAAAATAACAACAGCAACAACAAAAAACCATAATGCTACTTGGCATTATGGTTTAAAGGATCAGCTAACATCTTTTGATTATAAAGCATCCAATTCAACTATGAATAACCCAAAGACTGTACAGTCTCATTTTTAGTCTTGAGATGCTATCCTGAAATTCACGATGTATCTTTTTTCAATCTAATCCAACTCCACAAACACTGAGTATGAGAACCAACTGTACCACTTAATAGCTATGTGACACTGGAACAAGTTATTTAACCTCTCTACGCCTCAATTTCTTCATCTGTAAAATGGAGATAGTACCACGTGCCTATGAAATAAGGCCCCAGGAAGGGCTTAGTACAGTACCTGGGTTATAGTAATTGTTCAATAAGTGGAAAGGCAAAAGAGACATCAAAAAATACATAAATGTATAGTTCAGTGTGAGTGCAATAACATCATCACCACCATAATGTCAGTGGCAGCAACTGTTCACATCTGAATGCTTACCAATGTACTAGACATCATACTAAGTACACTGCATGCCCATAGAGCAACCCCAAGAAATAGATACAATGATTGCCCCCATTTGCAAATGGGAAAATAGAGGCACAAAGAAATTAAGCAATGTGCCCATGGTTGCAGAGCTAACAAATGGGAGAACTGAGCACAGAGACATTAGAGGAAGAGAATGACGGCCTTTATGGGTACTACAAGGTACAGCAGAAAAGATTTCCTAGCAAAGGAAGAAAAGAGCTTAAGGGGACTTTCATTCAGACCTAACTCCTACCTAATCCACTATGATTTCTAGAAGCTTATTCCTATTGTCTAAAAGGGTTACTACATTAAAACAGATCTGTGAATTTATAATAAGAAGAATTAAAAGTACAGTTATTTTATTTCCTAATTCTCAAACAGTCTGTATGGGGTATGCAGAGATACAAGTGTTTTGCAAACAACTACAGAGGTGATATTTCACTGACTTCCAAGCTTCCTAGAAACCAATGCCCATTACCATCCTACTGATGCTATTTCAGAACCAGGCAACCAATCAACCAAAGCTGGACTTGAAGGGGAACAGAGAGAATAATCAGCTTGGAGGGACCAAGGCATAAGATCATTCTTATACACTGTCGTAGCCCCTTTCCAAGATGGCCCCGATGAGTCATGTCTCTTGGGTGTCCATGCCCTAATGTAGTCCCTTCCCCCAGTAATAGGGCTGACCTATGTAACCAACAGGGTATTTGCAGAGACAATGGTGTATGACTTTCAGGGTTAGGACATAAAAGATTCTGTGGCTTCTACCTTGTCCTCTTTCTAAGATCAGTTGGTCCAGGGAAAACCAGCTGCCACAATGTGAGACACTTAAGTGGCCCCATGGAGAGGTACAAAAATGGTAAGGGACTGAGGCCTCTTGCAGCCAGGACTGATTCACTAAGCACATAAATGAGTCATCCTGGAAGCAGATCTTTCAGCCCCAGGTAAGCTTTCCAATGTCTGCAGCACTAGCTGACATTTGACTATAACCTCATAAAAGACCCTGACCTGGAACCATCAGTTAGGCTGCTTCTAATTCCTGACCCACATAAACTATATGAGATAATAAAAGTTTATTCTTGTTTTAAACTGCTAAATTTTGGAGTATCTTAAACATATATATAGGTCATATAAGTTAAATGCCAGGTAGAATTTATGCCCACAAGCTCATGAGAGCATCCCTGACCAACTCCCTCTATAAGATATGTAGGTATGTTCCCAATAAAATATACAAAAGACAAGGAAAATTGCATCAGGTGATCACTTGTTTTTCCTCTAATTCTAAGAAGAGTCTATGGTTCTATGGCTTTTGTGCTGGATATGGCAAAGGGAATTTGTAGATGTATTTACTGAAACCAATTTTATTCTGTTTAACTTCAGAGGTAAAAATGACAAGTAGGGCAACCCCATAGTGAAGCCAAGGGTGAAGCCCCCTAAGGTATCAGGTTCCCAATAGAATCCAGGAGGCTGCAATTTTTGTCCTAGAGAAAATTTTGATGTGTAAAATTCCATATATGATACACAGACATTTTAGGATTGGACCCATAGTTTCTCCCCCACCTCCTAGATTCTCAGAGATCTGTAAGAGTTGACTCACTGTAGATAAGTGAGTCATGGATTTGTTGAGCAGCTGTCTCAATACTGAGGAAAATGCCCCACCTAGTTGCTCAGGTCATAAACCAAAAGTTGTCACCATGATTCTTTCCTTTCCCTAACCCCCTACATCTAATGCATCAGCAAGTCCTGTCCATTCTCCCTCCAAATGTGTTTAATCAAATGTGCCAATGGGGAGGGAAGGAGAGTGAATGGAAGGTCCCACATTTATAAACTGTTGCCAAAGTGTTTAAATAAAAAGAGAGGGGCAAATAAGAAAACAGGCTGAGAGGAAAGCACAGTGAGTAAACATAAGAGGCTGGGGTTCCAATCGTTCTGCTACCATGAATCAGTATTCTGCAACTATGGATCTATCTAAAAGATAAAGCCTTTTAAGTGAGTGATACAAGTGTTCACTGTTTGGCCCAGCAGCAATGATGGAAATGTTCTATCTATACTCTCTCATAGGGTGGCTGCTAATTATATGTGGTTACTTAAATTTAATTGAAATTAAATAAAAATAAAAACTTTGCTCCCTATTTATCATAAATACATTTCAAGTTCTCAAAAGCTACAAAATCCTTAAATTTTTAAATATTTTTATTACTGGCAGATTAGTAAAAGCATACTGCAGATATCAAATCCTTTTCGTATCTTACATGTAGTTTTATAAGTATAGTTGGTTAACTTTAAGTATACTTTTATTTCCTTATTTCCTTTAAGCTCTCTGAGCCCATTTCACGTGTTTCTATTTACTATTATCTCATTCTATAATAGTTACAAATGTCTCATGACAGGTCAACTCCACTAAAAGATAAAATTTTGGCAGCCTGGGATATGCTATTTATACTCAGGAAGTTCCTATTCAAGCTGTTCCAAGTGGAAATATCTTTATTAAAAAACTATTAAAGAGGGCACGTTCTGCATGGAGCACTGGTTGTTACACGCAAATAATTTTCAAAAATTAATGATGTATGGTGATTAACATAATAAAAATAAAATAAAATGAAACCCTTAAACCTTGAAAACAAACAAACAAAAAAACTATGTTTCAGTTATTAGTGTTATTAAGTGACACAGGAACAAACAAAATCATTTTTTTCACAGAGAATCAAGGGTACACCCTACACTTACATTTAAATTGAAATCATATTCTACATTAACGAAGTGAAAGTCATCTATAAAGAGAAGGACTCAATTTTCGTTTTTATAATGTCTACTATGACTTTGACAATTTGGGGTGTATAATAATGAGGGAGAGTGAGGGTGACCCCTCCTCAGCAAAGCATCATTACCTCTCTTTTCTTATTTTTCTGAGGAAAAGGTGTGACACAAGACACCGAAGTGGCTTCAGTCATTTCAAAAATAGAACTGCAATTCAGATGCCAGGGAGCCAACCAAAAAACTAACAAAGTTGGAGGGCTTGTCAATAAGACCTTATATCTTATCTGCCAGCAGAGGAGAGATCTTAGGTGCTCTGGGCTCAGGGATAGAGCACATTTTTTTTTTTTTAAGATTTTATTTATTTATTCATGAGAGACAGAGAGAGAGAGAGAGAAAGGCAGAGGGAGAAGCAGGCTCCCAAAGAGCAGAGAGCCCGATGCGGGACTCGATCCCAGGACCCTGGGATCATGACCTGAGCCGAAGGCAGACGCTTAACCATCTGAGCCACCCAGGCGCCCGATAGAGCACATTTTAATTAGGAGGGTTGGTCGTTTAGGGTAGGTAATTAAAGGCCATGAGGACACAGGAAACATTTTCACCTTTTAAGTTAAAAGATCTAATTTAGGAACAAAGAATAAGAAAAGGCATACGAGTATCAGCAGGTGACTTCAGGCAAGGAACTGAGGAACATTTGAAGAACATCTAGAAGAATGTTTGATAGAACATTTATCAACTTAATCTAGATGATTTTACATTACTTCTGGAGGGGGAGAAGTTCAGGTAAAAATTTTGACTCAACAGGAGAAAACATGTTTTGAATAAGAAGAAACAATTTCCTTGAAGTGATACTTAACGCTGCTTTGAGGAAAATAATGACTAAGCTGGCTTGACTTTTAGGTACCTACATACAAAACTTGCCAAGCAAACTTGAAATCTTAGCTTAGGATAGATACATCCTCACTGGTGTGAGTCTGTCAAATTGGCAAATGTGGAGGGAAGTCTGTATTTCAAACACAGAGCCAAAAGGAAGAAATGGGTATAGCACTGTACCTAAAAGACACCCACATTCTTTGGCCACCAAGTTGGTAATACCTAAAAATATATGTGCACACATGCATACAGCACCTTCCCCACTCCCACTCTGGGCTGGCTAATGTTAAGGTAATGGAGAAATGGAAAAATATGTGCACTGCCATAAACTGGGACAAGCCTTTTGGAAGGCAATTTGATATATATCAAAATCTTAAAAAAATTTTATTATCTTTTGACTTGGCAATTATACTTCTAAAGACTGAGATACAATACAAATGTCTAAGAAATTAAGTTAAATAAATTATGGTACAGGTTTAGGATGCATAGCATAGTCATATACCCCCATCCCCTGAAAAGCAGGGCCCATAAAAAAAAAGGCATGTCTCTCTGCCTATTCATATACAGACTAAAATAAAAAATGACGTTACCTTTCATTATCTTTAGAACTGAGAATATGGGAGACTTTTATTTTCTAAACTAACTATATATTATGTTTTTAATAGAAAAAAATCCCCATTTTTAAAAGCTACATATCTTTAGAAATTCCATATATATTTGAAAGGAAGGGTTAGGAAAAGGAACAATTGAGGGTAATGCCCTGCAGATTCTAAAACCAGACAAGATATGGATACAGCTTTCCCAAAGCACACTGTACAGTGGCAAAGAGGCAAAGGATAATAGTACTTGGGGAGGGGATAAAAGGACAGTAACTGTGATTTTACAAAGTATTTGATCCAATGGACTTAATTTGTTTAACATTTCAACTCTCAAAATTAGTGGAAACAAACAATGGGAGAAATTATTCTGGGTTTAATTCTGCCCAACTAGAAAGAATTGGCTGGGGACATAGGTGACAGGAACTCTGGGGTAAAAATAACTGTAGTAGTAAGTAAAGGGAACCACGGGCCCTGCCTAATCTGAGCCATGACTACAGTAAAATGGATTTCAAAAAGTTCAGGGAATAATAGGTATGATTTTGTGGCTACAGTCTTCAAAAGGAGCTCAAAACTGATAAGAAATAGAAAATTAGAAAAAAAACTCTGACCAAGCAATTGCAAATAATCTCAATGCAAAGTAAAGGGAGAAGAACCAAAGAAACCAATTAAAAGGGTTTTCTCTGACAAGCTCATCATTTTAAACACAGATAACTTTAACAAGAAGGGCACATATTTAAGGAAGAATAGAAAATAACAATGTGAACCTCTAAGAACAGGCCAGATTTGGTTTAAAACAGCATAATGTTTTCAAAGCAAGGTCAAAAAAAGTTAAACCCCCTGACCAGGTAAAAAGAGAAGACAGACCTTGTCCAACTCCTATCATGATTCCCTTTTCTGTTAGAAGGGGTTTCAACCTGGAAAGGATATAACAAAAATCCTAATAAACAAAATGCAGCCCAAGGAAGGTGAGGGCAATCTACACATTTTAAATGTCTTTAAACCCAGAATCTAAAGTCCAAGAAACAAATTCTAAAATGGATTACAGAAACTCACAGTGGACAAATAGTAGACATTAGAAATTTCCCTAAGTCTTAAAAAAAAAAGTTTAATTTCCATTTTTTTTTTTTTTAAGATTTTATTTATTTATTTGACAGAGAGA